TGCACAAACTAGTAAAGATTCTTAGAACACTAATATGTTGCATAGGTATCAGCATGTAATATGCACTCTCAATTAGATCATCCGAAGATGAATTCATAGAGACCAAACATGATATAGGTGAGGTTATATTAACTAGTGGTATATCATAACATGCATAAAACAGCATACACTACAACAGACAATATACAAGAACAGTAATGGTATACACAATGACCTGAAGGATATGCGTGTTCATTCAAAGAAAGGTTTTCCTATGAATTAATTAGAGAACAGTCCATTTCTCTGGGCATTATGTGTCTTTCTTATGAGGAAAATGAGTGAGTTTCTCTACCCGCATTCCTTTGGGCAATAAAACCAGTGATATCAGCATTGGTTGCCATGGAATCAGAGGCCTGTTCTGCCTTTCTGAGGTGTTAAGATGCATTTCGGGGGAAGGGTCCATAGGCCCTCATATGGCTTATTAACTGAGGGGTGTTACAGAGTGTTTGTTAAATATAACTAACAAAATATATATTGTGTGTCTGATTGGTCCAGACGCTACAGCACTTAGATGGGTTAAATGCAGAGCACAAATTCCGAGTATGAGTTACCATTCTTGGCCGTCACGTCACTCACTGCTGGTGCCTTTGCCGAACACAGGAGGTTAATCTAAGCACAACAAAGCTCAAAGGTTTGATTTGATTGGAGTCAGGCATGAGACATGAGTAGAGTGCAAAAAATAAAAAGGAATTCATACAATAAAGCAGGTTAAAATAAATTAAAATAAAATCATCAAATCAAGAATTCTCACAATACAAAAAAATAATAATGAATTAAGACGTCACACAACTGACTCACATTTTCAAAAATGTAGGGATCTGGGCCTGTATTCTTAAAGCTTCTAAGAATCCTCTCAGGACGCTCTTAATTTAGCTTAAACATTTCTTTGTAGGAGTCTTAGCTTAAGAGCGATTCAGGACCAATCTGAGAGCAACTCTGAGTGAGGAAAAGACAAAAATGTTCATCTTAGTGAGGAGGCGGGGCTAACCCCGTTGATACGTATAACAGTCTTTTGAAGACTTTGATTG